CGCTGTTGTTTTTCTACTCGTGAGGAATTCTAGATTTCTTGTTCTTGCCCCTACACGAGAGTATCATTAGGATGTCAGAACGTCTTGATGCTAGTTAGCTCAACTGGAAGAAGGTGCAAGCTACCTTTTTGTGTCCCCTAGTTGATCTTTTCTTAAGGGGGTAGCCAAAGTGAAGGTGGTTTTGTATATTCTAGCTCTCATTGGGAAGGAATCCTACCAATTCTAATTCATCGCCACCTAATTCCCCCATCTATAGAGCAAGCTTTGATGACACAGACTCAGTTATTATAGACTATTGCTCAAAGTGTGTTGAACCACCCGCATCAAGCACCAACTATTGATAAGCGTGGTGAATTTATGAAGGGATACCCACCGATATTCTTTCATACTAGCGAACCACTAGAAGTTGATGACTGGCTTAGAGATGTGGAGCGACAATTGGACATAGCTCAGTGTGATGCCCATGAGAAGGTGTTTTTTGTGTCCGACCAACTCCAAGGCACGGCACAAGACTGGTGGGAGTCTTGCCAGTTTGGACGTCCCAACAATGCTGGACAGATCACCTAGAAGGAGTTTAGCGAGAGCTTTAGGTCCTACCATATTCCGTTAGGTGTGGTAGAACTTAAGCAAGATGAGTTCCTCAACTTGAAACAAGGATCTATGACTGTGTGTGAGGGTTGTGACATGTTCACTCAATTGTCACGCTATGCTCCAAGAGAGGTGTATAGTGATGCTAAGAAGCAAAAACGCTTTTTCAAAGGACTGAATGATGGTTTGTAGCTACAGCTGATGACCGTGGTGTATGCTGACTATCAGATGTTGGTGGACAGAGCAAATGTAATTGAGAACAAGCACCGAGAGATGGAAGAGAAGAAGAGAAAGCTTGATGTTCAACGCCAGTTAAGAAACTCTCGTCTTTGTTTTGCTACACAAGCAAAATATCACCACGCCCTATGAATTTGCTTGGGAGTATAGATCGTGATCACTATCAGCAACCCAATGATGAAGTGCAACATTTCAACTCTCAAGAGCCATGTTTGTCAACTCCTACTATCACCTTGATGAAGATAAATACTTCTACTAGTGAGGAAGGTTATGATTGTGGTGAGATTGAGCATTATGAGAACGACTGTCTTGAGAAGTTTGCTGAGAGTAATCAAAGACAGAATCAATAGCAGCAGGAGCTACAACAGAATGTCCATAAGAAGCAGGAGCAAGGAAAAAAAAATAAAGCGAAACTACACCCCTAGAAGTCTGAACAATGTGGATATGATTACCACTGATGGAGATAAGAACGTCATTTATGGTTTGATTGCAGTAAGCTCAGCCACTGCTATGGTGTTGTTTGACCCTAGTGCTTCACATTCATTCATCTCTAGGGTATATATGGAAGATCCTAAGGTAACTATGCTTGGATGAGGAAACCACTGATAGTTAAGTCTCCGGAAGAGAAATGAAGGCGTAACCGCATATGCCCAAACGTTAGTCTTGACATGGAGGGGGTAAACTTCGAGGCAAACCTTATTGTTTTGGAGTTAAGGGACATTGATGTTATCCTTGGAATGGGATGATTGTCTGCATGCAAAAAAGTGATTAAGTATGCTCAATGATTGGTGCTTCTAACAACACCGTTAGAAGAAAGAATTAAGTATGAGGGTATTCGACACACTTTTGAGGAATATGAGGATGATCTATTGGAAGGTGTGTACACCGAGATAGTAAAGTGGACCGAGAGTCTTCAAATGTTAGTATAGAGGAACAAACCCTTTTGGAGGAGATCAATAAGATAGATGATCATGCCTATGCAAACTATCCAACTAAGAAGGGTCCGAATGCTCAAGGTGCCATATGAAGTTCAAGTCATACTCTCTAGCTCTTACTTAGAAGAATCGATTAATCTAATAAGGAAGGTGGTACTCAAGGATGTAAGAGAGAACTCAGAGTTTTCAATGAGGTTTGGATAGAGGTTCAAGGGAGGTTTATCCAAGATCATCAAGATATGGGTAGAGCTACCGGAGAAGCTTTTAAGTTAGTTTGGATCAAGAAACCTCAGGTAAGTATTTGAAGGAGTAAAAAAGAGAGGTTGAAGTAAAACCTATGTATTAGCTTTGTCAGATTAGGACAAGAGCTTTATATCCACTAGGATGCACCTTGTCAGGGTGTGGGATGTGTCCTTATGCAAGAAGAAAAAGTAGAGGCTTATGCAAGAAAACATGAGATGGAACATCTGACGTATGATATGGAGTTATCCATTGTGGAGCATGAGGTACGATCTACTTGGGCATGACAAATGACATCTAGGAGGATCACAAGAATCTACAGGACATCTTCACTAAGTTGGTCTTGAGCTTGTGTTATCCTTGTTGGAATGAAATTGATTATAACTTGGAAAAGTGCTATCATTTCGAGGAGCAAAGTCATGGCCGATGCCCTTAGCAACAGAGAATTGTGCTAAGAAGGTTCGGGTGACACCAAGGATCAAGAATTGTATTCCAGGTTCGAGCAACTTAACCAGAATCCTTAATGTTTTGAAGATTGGTAGTAGAATTTCCTTTTGACCAAGAGATTCGTTAGGCTCTATTGAAAGGTGAACATATGAAGAAAGAGGTCAAATAAGTATGGACTAAAAAGAAAAGGTGGCCTAGTGATTGAAGTTACCTGAGTATTGTTTGGAGTATCTATCAAAATTTTGGAATTAGTAGAGTAAGTTACTTGGAGTAAGGTTAACAGGTACGCAAAGTAAAGTGGGATCTTTATCAAGATGATGGAACTATACAAGCAAGTAAAGAAGAATCCAAAGGCGGAGAGTCTGCATCTCTTTCATCACCATCGTTTGAATCTCGAGGACGAGATTCACCTTAAGGGGGTAGAATTATAACACCCTAAAAATTTCAATTTTGAAAATAGGATTAAAATGATTTGTTTACGAATTTTTGTGCACATGAAATATAGGAAAAAGAATATTTTTATTATATTAAAATTCATCATAAGGAGTAGCAACATGGTTGTGCATATATGCCGGTGCATTTGATTTATTGCAATGAGTGGTTGAATCCAAAATTCAAAATAAATTCAAATCGCTTTTGAAAATAAGTTTGAAAAGGGCTCTCCAAAAAGAAAAATAAAAGAGATTTGGAAAATAAAAGAATTTTCAAAAGTTTGCAAAAGTTCAGCTTTGGAAACCTCCCAAAAGTTCTCATCTTGAAAAGTATATTCGAAACTATATTTGAATTTGATTTTGATTATATTGAATTTGGATTGAAAAGGGAAAATTGGAAAATGGAAAATCCTCCCTCTCTCTCAATCTGGCCTGAAATACGTTATATATTGAGCATTGTCTTTTGATATTACCCTTATTTTTAGCTATATGTGAGATTTGACTTTCTGGACTCACATATGATACATATCTAGTTTTGTTCTTAAAACCGGGTCCTACATGTAACCAATTAGCCAGATCTTGTTGTATCTGAATAGGAAACATATCTATAAGTTGAGCAGGAAAGGATCTCCATGTAACCCTACCCTCCAAGATATATAAGGCGATGGAACTTCCTGATTGGCAATCCCTAGCCATATCCTGGAACACCCACAGACGCTCTAGCGATCCTAGTGTTCATCAGCGTACGGCGCAGAAGCAATAATGCAAGCATCGTTATGCATTGGACATAGAGTGCCTAGTATAAGTATGTGTCATGTGTGCTACCCTCTAGATCTACTATACATGTAACACACCTTATATTATAATTATAGTTGGTGGTAAAAACACCAATAATAGCCATCTGCTACATCCATGGGTATAATCACTATTGTCAACAATTGAGGGTATTAATTAGAGAGACTAACAACCATTATTAGTGTATCTTTATTTGTGTGTCGTGAATGTAAAGAGCTTGAGGCAACCTCCTGGAAATGTGCTCTATGATACTATGTATGCTAGTGGCTTCGAGACAATAGGGAATACTTATTAAGAGCAACCATAAGTTGATCGGTCATATCAAAAGCCATGCATCTTTTTTGCATGCATATGATCATTATTTTCAATCAAACATGCTTTTTCATGATTTTGTTCAGTATCATCTGGTCAATCAATCCGGTATGGTATAGTGAACATTAAAATAACTTTTGTCCAAGGTGTGGCGTATACTTTGATGCAGGGTACGTGGTGCTACTTGTCTCTCCATTGATGGCCCATGTAAAATTGTAAATATAGTTTAAACAATGTGTAAAGTGTATTTAATATTTCAGTGTTAATACAAATGTATCATTTTTAGCAACAGAAATGTTAATGTACGTCGAAGCAGGGAGTATTAGCTTAGTATATTGAAATAACATACCTAAATCATCTGGATCACCTTATCTATAATTCCTATCCCCACTTTCTTTGAACACGCTTTGGACGCAAAAGAAAACTAGCCGACTACTTATGGGACCAATTAGCATATGCATGGAAAAAAAAAGTGACTGAGAGGGTAGCACCACGAGAAAAAAAATAATGAAAAATACAAAAGGAGCATTTCTTTTGAAAAAATAATGAAAAAAAAGAGCATTTCTTCTGAAGAAAAAAAAATGAAAAGGAGCTAAACGACAGGGATATGTTTATGCTCTATAGCACTGCTCATTTTGAGCGCGCAATCCACACGTCGAAGATTCTTTATGCCCATTGCCCACAACGAACATCTCTCTCTCTCTCTCTCTCTCTCTCTCTCTCTCTCTCTCTCTCTCTCTCTCTCTCTCTCTCTCTCTCGATCTCTAGAGATCTCTATCTCCGAATCTCTGTCCTCCCTATCGATACATATCTCATACAAGCACCCACTGTTCTCCTCATCCTCTATTGGATCAACACTATAAAAAGGGCATCGATCCCACCCTGAACTCGCAACAAAGCACACAGCTAGTAGCCCACAAAAACACTCACTAGCTACAGCTAGCAGGCTAGCTCATTGTTCGCTAGATAGCCAGCTCGATCGACTGACGGGAGCCAAGAAGAGACGGTACCGGTGATGGCGGAGAGGGTGTCCAGACTGTCGACGGAGAAGGCAGCGGTGATCTTCACGACGAGCCAGTGCCCGATGTGCCACACGGTGACGAGCCTCTTCTCCGAGCTGGCCGTGTGCGCAGCGGTGCACGAGCTCGACAAGGACCCGCGCGGCCGCGAGATGGAGCGGGAGCTCGCGCGCCGCCTCGGCCGCGCGCCGCCCGTCCCCGCCGTCTTCATCGGCGGCAGGCTCGTCGGCTCCACCGACAAGATCATGTCGCTGCACCTCGCCGGCAAGCTCGTGCCCATGCTCAAGGGCGCCGGCGCCATATGGCTCTGAATTTTGCTAGCAGCTGGAGAACGTAACGTAACCCACCGAATTTTGCACCTTATTTCCATGAGTACGTATACCGATCTCGTGCATATTGGGCCTGTTTGGATCGTGCCAGATGATCCTGGCGCCAGGCGTGAGAAATCGGACACCTGGTGTTGACGCACGTACCAGGCAGACTTGTCCAGTCTGAAACCAAACAGACCCATTATGCATGGGTAGGCTATAGAGTGTGTTCACAAATCGTAAGATATGAGGACCTATCTGGACCGTCCGATCACAACGGGTGGTTTAGATTGGGAGAACTTTTCGTTTTTGATGACATCCAGTTTTCAATAAGATATATATGAATTTTGAGGTACCTCTCTCTTGCTATTCTTGGATTGTTCTTGCATCTTATATATAATCATGGGTGAACATGGCGTGGATTTTTGTGTGAGTTTGTGTATTAATACTACATAAGGATTCAAATAGTCCGTACTTGTAAAGATGAAAGGCAAAGCGTACATGTGTTCTTTTGTTTGACAGCCGACCAAACTATGTGGAATCGAATTAATTAAATGCATAAAACTTCTTGTCGCATCGATCCTGTCATGCTCTACATCTTTATCATATTTGCAAAGTACTCCTTCAGTTTCAAATGAAATTAACTTTAGAGTTGTTCTAAGTCGAACTATTTTAAGTTCAACTAACTTCAAAAAAAAAAGGCACCAATTTGACAATAAATTAGTATCACTAGCTAGATAGATCAAAAAATATATTGTCATAACATACTTATAGTGTCATAGTTGTTGTTTTCGAGAGAGTAGTGTCATAGATGTTGTTACCCTAACTTAAGGTAGTAAGGTGATTCTAACGATTGATTTATTTTGGGACGGGGGTAGTAGTACATTTGTCTTCAAGAGAAGTGAAACTAAGAACTAAATCTAAGGAATACTAACTAGAAAAAAATCATTTCACCAATAAAAGAAGTCACGTTCTCTCTTTTACCATGCTATGCCTTTTTTTATTTCCGTTCTGTAATCTCATCCGGTCAACGAGCATTTAACCATCAAGTAACATAAAAAATTAATAGACATCTTTAAAAAATATTGACTTAAGCACCAAAAATAAACTGGTGCAGGATTCACGACTAAACATAAACTTTGGTTTAGTTTTCATAGGAGTTTCAAATTGAGGAAATTTTTAGCATGTTACATGCATAATAAGGATGGTCTTTTCAACGATTTCATTATTTCTAGTGATTTTTGGTTTCTTTTGAAATTTGAAATGCTCCTTTGGTAAATCTTATTGATGTCAATAGATGTTGTTGAGCTCCAAGTGTGCGAAAAAAAAACTAGGCATACGAACAGAAACAGAGCAGTGGCAAATGATAGAATTTTTTGTGGCAGAAGATCTGGTTCCTTTATTCAAAGGAGAGCATTTGTTCTTCTTAGAGTGTACACGGAAGACGCACACAGACAGTGCTAAAAAAATCGGCCGCTACACGTGGACATCTCATTTGGATTGACCAAGTATACATTCTGATGTCTTTTTTTCAAAGGCCTGATATACATACAGGCCTAGTAGGTAGGCTGGCCCAAGCGAGCAAGAATCCGGCCAGCAAAGCGATGGCGGCCCAAAGCAGAGCGTTGAATAATACCAATTTTGTGCAACAGCTAGCTAGCCGCAGTTTTTGCATGCAGTTTGTCTTATATGTTTGGGTAAAGAAACCAGCATGATGGTTCTTGTTTGTCTTGTATTTTTTGGTAATCCTAAACATAAAGATGATTTGCAATCACATATAATTAATTCCAGATGAACAAGGTGATGCTACTAATATGAAAGATGTGCTAATAAGATGGATTTACTAAAGAAATGGTATCATCTTCAGAATAAGCCATATATAATCTCTGTTTGAAAACCTAGCAATCTAGTAGTAGGAAACAACATAATCTTACACACCCAGAAGAATTTATCTCGATCTCTTATTTCCTTATACTAACATGCATTTGTCGACTGATAAATAAAATAAAATGAGCTTTTCATTAAGTTGTTGCAAACCATCAGACTCTATGCCAACCTGTCAATCATCTCCATCCATGCTGCACCAATGTGCAGTTGGCAATGTGGCTGAATCAGAACCTTCTACCCCAGCAGCAACAAGCAAGTGTGGTCCAAAGAAACATGCAGAAAACAAGTGAGGCAGCTCACATACAGAGTCTCGAGTAACATGCAACGCCAACCACCCAAACTTGGCGGCAGCCATCCGTCCATGTGAGTTGTAGTATGCAAACGACGCACACAATCCAGTCCGGAGAGTGAAGGAAGTGAGTCAGAGTCGTCACATTTTTTTTTAAAAAAAATGCTACAGTACGTAGCCCATACATGTTCAGATCAGATCCAAATATACTAGGCCAACAGATCTAAATTAAGACGGCACCACACTCACACAAGGATGCACATATGGTCCATCAATGCACTAATTTAAATCATCCGACAGGCTCATGTAGACCGCACTAAATCATTCGACAGGCTCATGGGCAGTACACACCGTCTGATCATAGTTAACTGGCTGGTACCGAATGGGCGGTACATACGGTGTTACTGTGCTATGGTCATATGCTTCGAGTCTCTGGACCATATGTGCATGCAAATCATGTGTTCATGGCATTCAATTAGTAGGCTGGCGACCCTCACCATCATTTACTAATACTAGTAACAATACGAGTTGCCAAGTGCTTGTACTCCCTCTTATCACAAAAGAATGGAACCGTGGATTTTGTGTCAGTCCAACTAGCTTAACTTTGACCGAATTTATAGTGAATATTAATAACATTTATGTCTCCAACTAGGCATACTTACTAGAAAATATATTCCATAATTAATTTAATGGTACTTATCTTGCATCATAAATGTTAGTATATTTTTATATAATTTTGGTCAAACTTTAAATCATTTGACTCCTCGAAAAGTGTGGAGTGCATTCTTTTGTGGACAAAGGAGTACTTGTTTATTTGATGATCTAATCTACTACGTGTGCATGCATGCTTTGTGATATTTATGCATAGTTGAGCAAATGGGTTATGGTGTGATGGACAGAAGCGCCCTTATGAAAACTTGTAGAATAGATTTCGTTTCTATATGGCGACTATGTGTTATTGGTGCATGCATGCTCATTCAGTTAGGACTTAGTGTATAGTGTTATGACTCATGATGTATTGATGTGTAGGTCCATATCAATCACTAAAAGTAGATAACTACCAATAAATCCTTAGTCGGTAAAAAGTTTAACCTTGATGATTGTCTGTTTGTTGGTAAAAACAAACCATCAGATGGAATGCTCAAGCCAAGTGAAGTCATGATTGATCCACACGATACACACATGGGTGTACAAGAGACATGGAAACTTGAATAACATGATGATGGTGTTGAAGTCAAAAGCGGTCAAGTAGTCAGTGCAAGCAAAAAGGCAACCTGAGAGCATAGAGCATGGCAGTTGCCAACATGGACTATATATCAAAGAACAAGGTGACATGCTTCAATATTGAGAGGACTTACTGAAAGCTCTAGTTTGGTCTTGGTTAATTGATGAAACCCTAAGTGCTAACCTAGTTTATCAAAGTGATTATGAGATAGGTAGCACTATTCCAAGTGGTGAAGCAAATGAATATCATGACATGGTGATGGTGATTCCATGGTGATGATCAAGTGCTTGGACTTGGAAAAGGAGAAAGGAAAACAAAAGGCTCAAGGCAAAGGTATAAGTGGTAGGAGCATTTTCATTTCGGTGATCAAGACACTTAGCGAGTGTGATCATATTTAGGTTCAATAGTCGTACTATTAAGAGGGGTGAAACTCGTATCGAAATACGGTTATCAAAGTGCCACTAGATGCTCTAACTCATTGCATATGCATTTAGGATCTAGTGGAGTGCTAACACCCTTGAAAATGTTTGTGAAAATATGCTAACACATATGCACGAAGGTGATACACATTGTGTTTAGCACTTGGGAGCAAGGGTTTAAAACTCCACCGGCAGAGTATCCGCCCGTAAAGTGCGGACAGTCCAATAGTGCCACCGGCGCCCTGTACATAAAAGACAGGATTTCACAGAGTGCACCAGACACTGGTCACGCAGTGACCGGATACTGGGGTCCTGCGTCCGGTCAGTGGCGCACAGTGAAGTCCGCTCTCGGTCTCTTGACCGGACGCTGGGTTCAAAAGTGACCAGACTCTAGCTGAACACTGTTCAGCGTCAAGTCATGCTGATGTGTGAAAGGTCCTAATGGCTAAAGGGGGGTGAATAGCCTAATAAAAATTTCTACAACAACACTTAATAAATCGGTTAGACAATTATGAGGCGAAGCAAGTGTTGCGCTAGCCTACTAAAATTGCAAGCCACCTACCACAATTCTAGTTTATATAGTTTCTATCCACATAATAGTTATGTCACTACAATAAGTTAGTGTGCTCTCAAAGGCTAACTAAAGAGCCACACTAACCAAACTAACAAGCTCTCACAACTAGCTACATTAAAGAGCTTGACAACTAGTTTGCGGTAATGTAAAGAGAGTGAGCAATTTGTTTATACCGACGTGTCGAGGAAGGAGCCAATCAATCACAAGAGTGACTACCAATGAAGACCAATCACCTCGGAATCAAATGATGAACATAATGATTTTTTACCGAGGTTCACTTGCTTGCCGGCAAGCTACTCCTCGTTGTGGCGATTCACTCACTTAACCCTTAATAGGGTGCCGCACAACCAACACAAGATGAGGATCACACAAGCCACGAGCAATCCACTAGAGTACCTTTTAGCTCTCCGCCGGGGAAAGGTCAAGAACCCCTCACAATCACCATGATCGGAGCCAGAGACAATCACCAACCTCCACTCGACGATCCTCGCTGCTCCAAGCCGTCTAGGTGGCGGCAACCACCAAGAGTAACAAGCGAATCCCACAGTAAGAACACCAAGTGCCTCTAGATGCAAACACTCAAGCAATGCACTTGGATTCTCTCCCAAT